GGAACAGACAAGGAAGGAATATTTATCTCTCCATGTCTGTACAGGCCTATAGATAAGAGTGATGTACTTACTCAGAGAATAGAAGTGTCAGATTCCATTCTAATTTCTCTATGATTCTGAGACCTAAATACAAATATAGCTTATCTTTCAACAACTTAAAATAGTGGTGGTTCTGTTAGACATTCAGTTAGTCTAGTGCATTCTTCTATCAAAGCAGGCATGATTTCTTGGTAATCTGTGATGTTGCCCTTACAGAAAAATAGATATATAAAAAAAGTGAAGATTACCTTTTGTATAGTAATGATTCCTTCCTGTGTGTCTTTGTCAACAGATATCTTGAAAATCCCCAGTCCATCACCATCCACTATTTTGTATTCCATTTCTGCATTAACACCTATATCTGCATCAGCAGCTTTAATTCTGGCCACAACTGAAGCCACAGGCAAGGATTCTGGGACATTATATTGATAAGATCCTGTGAAATTCAAAACATGGAAGGAATAAAGTGTTAATACAAATCACCAACACCCACATTAGCTACTGACTTTTTATATAATATATTATTGGTTTTAATTTTTCAATATTGAAAAGCTAAAACAAAATGAAACAAAGTGTAAGTTTCAAGAAACTTCAAGAAATTTGATGATGATTCAATAATGGTAACTGTGACCAGAAACAAATGCCCCGAAGAAAAATAGGATTAGAATCTCCGTTGCTGTATTTCTAGAGTTGAGAAATATACTTCTTTTAATGGCGAAATAAACTTAAAAGAGTTAAAATACAGATTCCCCTGCAGCCTGAGTAGCTCCACTCTCTCCCTGTACTCTATCCACCTTCTAGCCTTGGGGCCAGACCCACTCCTGATCTTCTACTTCAGACCTCTGGACTAGCTTTCTAATCCAGACTAGCTTAACCCTGTAGCATTGTTTGTTAGACCCTCCACATGCTGTACCAACTCCCTCCTTACTCCCAGCATTCAGATCTGCCTAAAACAGACCCACTTACTACCCTGGTAAGTGCACTGTGTCTTAGTTCCCCTGAACCCTGAAGAAATTCACTCTCTCCCCACTTCTATCTTGGGTACAGGCCCCCTCTTAAATCTCTAGACTACCCTCTTGGTCCAGACCAATCCATTCCGTTTTTATCCCTTATCCAGACTAGGTCAATTCTCCAGCATCATTTGTTAGAGACTCCACAGGATGTCTCCACACCCATCTTGCTCTTGGCCCCACTCTTGATCTGCCAAACATAGACAGACCTACCTACTCCTCAGAGGAACCTACTACCCTACAAGAACCTGAAGCACACAACTACCAACTTTTCATATCTGAGAAAAAAAAGCAATCAAGTTACATCAACAATACAAACATAACCAAACTTCAAATAAACAAAGAAAGAATAGAATTTCATATCAGACACACAGCCAACCAACGACATCTATATGCCCAAACACATACCCAGTCAAATGACACAAGCTAGTGAATGGATTGAGAAACAAAATCTGTCTTTTTTCTTGTCTTCAAGGAACTCTTCTTACCTTCAAGTATACTTAAAGGTGAGGTGAAAGGATAGAACAAATATTCCATGAAAGGGGCATTAAGAAGCAAGCAGATGTCGCAATCCTAATACACTTCATTCTAATCAAAGGAACAATTGACCAGGAAGATATTACAATCATGAAAATATATACATCCAACTCTAGTACACCCAAAATCATAGAAAAAAAAAAAACAGTACTACAGGACAAAAACATACAGATAAACTCCCAACTCAGTAACAGAAGGTGAGTTCCATACCCCACTATCTACAATAGACGGGTCAACTGGACAAAGATTAAACATGGAAAACATCTGAATTAGATGACATATTATATCAAATGGACCTAACAAACACCCACAGAGTATTCCAAACAAGCTCCAGAGAATGCACTTTCTATTGAGCAGCCTATGCAAGTTTCTCCAAAATTGACCACATATTGGGGCACAAAATCAAACCTAAAAAAATTAAAAAATTGAAATAATCTCATGCATTCTATCAGATCACAATTGAATAAAATTTAAAATCGACAAGAAAAGAAGCTCTAGTAATCACACAAGCTCATGGAGATTAAACAACATGTTCTTGAATGATGAATGGCTCAAAGAACAAATTAGGAAAGAAGCAAAAGTATTCCTGGAACTAAATTAAAATGATAATCCAATACATAAAATCATCTGGAACACTTTAAAAGCAGTCATAAGAGGGAAGTTTACAGTTCTAAGTGCCTACTTCTGGCACGGTGGTGCATGCTTTTAATCCCAGCACTTGGGAGGCAGAGGCAGGCAGATCTCTGAATTCAAGGCCAGCCTGGTCTGCATAGTGAGTTCCAGGACAGCTGGGGCTGTACAGGGAGACCCTGTCTCAAAAAGACCCAAAAGAAAAAAAAAATCAGGAAAAGCACATAGAAATGACTTAATAGTGCAACTTAAAACTTTGGAAAGGGAAGAACAAACCAAACCCAATCCTAACAGACAAGAAGAAACAACAAAAATCAGAGCCAAGATTAATGAACTAGAAACAAAGAAAGCAATAGAATGAATTAATGAATCAAGAATCAGGGTTGGGTTCTTTGAAAAGTTAAACAAGATAGACAGACACTTAGTCCAGTTAATCAAAAGAAAGAACAAATCTAAATTACCAAATTCAGAAATGAAAAAAGAAACATCAGAACAGACAGCAAAAATAAAATAAAATTAAAAATTAAAAAAATAAAAACACGACCCATAATAACAGACATCAAAAAGATCCAGGATATCATAGGGAATACTTTAAAAACTTATAGTCTATTAAATTTGAAAATTTAAAAGAAAAGGATGAATTTCTAAATTCAGGGAAACCACATATTTAAACCATGAAGAGAACAACAGCTTAAACAGATCCATAAAAAATAGGAAATTTAAACAACAATACAAAATTTCCTGACAAAACGAGCCTAGGCCCAGTGACTTCACAGCAGAATTCTACCAGACACTCAAATAAGATCTACAACCAATACTTTTTAAGCTATTCAAAAAGATAAAAGAGGGAGAACTCCCAAATCAGGTCTATGAAATCCAAAACCAGGTAAAGAGAGAACCAAAAAACAAAAATTAGAAAAGTATAGGCCCATATCCTTAATGAACTTAGACTCAAAGATTGAAATAAATTATTCAAAAATTGCATACAGAAACAAATCAAAAAGATCATCCAACATGATCAAGTTGGCTTTGTTCCAGAGATTCAGGAATGATGGTTCAATATTATGTAAGTCAATAAATGTGATAAATCATATAAATGGGCTTTAAGACAAAAACCATATGGTTATCTTAATAGATGCTGAAAGGCCTTTGACAAAATCCAATATGAATTCATGTTAAAAGTCCTAGAGTGAATTGGACTGGACAGAATACACCCCAACATAATTAAAGCCATAAACAACAAATCTACAGCCAACATCATTCTAAATGGAGAAAATCTTGAAGCATTCCAAGTCAAATTAGGAACCAGACAAGTCTATTCACTATCTCCACTTCTTTTTAATACAGTTCTTGAAACTCTTGTTAGAGCACTAAGATAAGAGAAGGATCTTAAAAGAGCACTAGTTGGAAAAGTAGAGGTCAAGGCTAGAGAGATGGCTCAACAGTTAAGAACATTGGTTGCTCTTGCAGAAGACCCGGGTTCCAATCCCAGCACCCACATGGCAGCAAACAACTGTCCATAAGTCCCAAGGGATCCGACAACCTCTTCTGACCTCTGTGGGAATTGCAAGATATGGGTGCACTTACCTACCTGCAGGCAATGTATGCATACACATAAAATAAACATAATAAATAAAATTTCTTTAAAATGAAGAGGTCAAATTATCACAATTTGTAGATAATATGAAATTATTGATAAGAGATTTTAAAAATTCCACCAGAAAACTGCTTTATGCAATCAGTGCTTTCAGAAAAGAGGCAGGTTACAAAATTAGCTTTGAAAAATTCTTAGCCTTTTTATATGCCAAAACAAGTGATCTGAGAAAGAGTACGTGGAATCCCTCCTATTCACAATAGCCTCGCAAAATATCTAGGAATAAATCTGACCAAAAACAACAAAATCTCTACAATGAACATTTTATGTCTTTAAAGAAAGAAGTACAGGAAAAAACCAGGAGATGGAAGGAACTACCACATTCATGAATTGGAAGAATTAATATTGTGAAAATTATGATCTTACCAAAAGTAATAAGTAGATTAAATGCAATGCTAATCAAAATCCTCATGGAATTCTTCAGAAAGTTAGAAAAAGTAACCTTAAAAGTCATATATAATTACAAAATATGCCAGAGAACTAAAGCAATCTTGGGTAAAAATACTAATGTTGGGGGGATTCCCCACACTGCATCTCTAACTGTATTACAGAAATACAGTCATAAAGAAAGCATGGTGCTGGCACCAGAATAGACATGTAGATGAATGGAACACCCAAAATATGAGTGCATGCAATTTCATCCACCTGATGTTTGCCAGAGATGCCAAGAATACATTATAGAAGAAAGACAGCATCTTCAACAAAGAGTGCTAGGAAAACTGGTTCTACATCTTTAGATGAATGAAATTGACCCTTATTTTTCACTTTGCACAAAAGTCAGCTCCAAATGAATCAAAGACCTCAGTATGAAATCTGAAACTATGAAACTGCTAAAAGAAAACAGAGGTAGTACCCTGCAAGGTATAGATGTAGGAAAGGACTTTCTAATCAGATATCAATTGCTCAGGTATTAAAGTCAACAATCAAGTTGTACCTCATTAAACTGAAAAGTTTATGTACAGCAAAGGAAATAACCAAGGATGTGAAGTTGAAACACTGAGTGGGAGAAAAATCTTCACCTGCTACAAAATATGATAGAGAATTAATATTCAGAATATACAAAGAACTCAAATTAAAAAAAAAAAAAAAACAAGAAAAGAAACGACCCAATAAACAGATAGTCTAAGGACCTGAACACAGAGTTCTCCAATGAAGGAATAAAAATGGCTAAGAAACACCTTTAAAGGTGTTCAATATCTTTAGAAATTAGAGAAATACCAATCAAAAACACTTTAAGATTTCCTCTTACCCCAGTCAGACTGGTAAAGTCCAGGAAACAAAACACCAAATGCTGTCAAGGATGTGGAGAAAGGGGAACGCTCATTCATTGTGGGTGGAAATCCAAATTCCTACAACTGCTATGGAAAGGAGTGTGGAGAACTCTTTAAAAATGAAAAATGAATCTACCATATGATCTGGTTTTAACACTCCTTGGCATATACTTAAAGGACTCATCCTACTGTAGAGATAGCTATACATCCATGTTTGTTGCTGCTATTTTCACAATAGTTAAGAAATGGAAACGACATAAATTTCCATCAGCTGATGAATGGATAATGAAAATGTGGTAAATTACACAATGGAGTAATACTCAGTGGTAAAGAA